GGGTTGGGGGTTATGGCGGGGGCCAGGGGGACAGGAGTGGTCGGGCTGACAGAGACTCCGCGAGATGTCGGGCTGTCAAAAGGGTGAAAAAGCGCGATCACGGCACCAGGGCGGATTAAGACGGGTTCGAGAGTTTCGTTAACAACAAATAATCTGGTGGTGCTTCTCGCGGGAGTGTGGGAGATCAACTCTCCTGTCAGGCCATACTTACCTAAGGACGCGAGGGCCGGATTAACATAACCAGAACCACGTGTTGACTCGGCGCGTTTACCTACAATTTTGCCGGGGACCAGATGAACGGAGCGCGGGGGCACGAGGTACGAATTACGGGTAACCACGCGACGGACAGCGCCTGCTGCCCTACGGGAGACCGGAATGGAGACTACGCCCTGTGGCCCCCAGAGTGTCATCTCACGATTGCGCAGCGAGAGTTCGGCCCCGTGAGCCAGAAGAAAATCTGTCCCTACTAAAATGGGCGTGGTCGTGTTCCGGCAGACGACAAAACTGGCTGGGAACACGTGGTTATGCCAGGTGAGTGGAAGACAGATGCAGCCCAAAATGTCCAAGGCGCCCCCTGCAACGGTGGACAACGCAGGGCCCACGTAAGGGTTGAGAGTTGGCGGGGGGGGGGCAGGACTGACAAGTTTCTTAAGTATGTCTTCCGTGATTAGAGAAACGTCGGCGCCGGAGTCAATAAGAACCTCCCTTGAGGTCTTTAGCTGACGACTCTTCGCCCAAAAGCTGGAGCCCAGTGACACACCTGCTATCATCTATAGTTAGGGCTTTCAACCGCCCCCCAAAACCAGAGATTACATCTATTTAATATTTATGTTATTGTTATATTGTAATGTTGTTGGAGAAGCAAATTTTTTCCTTTCGTTTGAGGTACCAAGTATGTGTTTCGGTGAAGTGAATTACCCCCTTGTTTTTCCTTTTTTGTCACGTCCAAATTTGGAACGGGAAACCTCTGCCACCCCACCGGTCGGTTCTATGTGAGCCTAGGGGTCTCATCTAGTTCGCTTACCACGGGGGAGTGCGGGCGACTAGCACTCTTCCCGTCGGGGCCACTACTCTTTCAACAACTTGAGCATAGGGTAAGTTTCCCGTCTCCTGGGCGTTACCGCAGCAT